ACACCAGAAAAACATCATCGCCTTTCTGACTGGAAGATGTCTGGTGTCAGGAGTGGGAGAAGTGGAGGAAATGAGCTCCCCATGAAATACCAGTCCCCTCATCAAACGGGTGAGACCTGTCACCTGGGCCTGCCTGGGGTGGCCGACCTGCACCACCATGGCGGCAACAGCAGGCAGCACAGGGGTTTGGGACACTTTCCCAGGTGTGGCCCACACAGCCTGGGACAGACAGTCACTCTGAGAAGGCCAGCTGCAGAAGGACGAGGAGAGTTGGAGCAGCGGCCAAGTGAGTGATGTATCCTGAAGTGATGTATGACTGGCTTACCCAGGAGCCACGGTGGGGTTTGTCCCAGCCCTTACGGCTCCCCCTGAGGAGAGCTACTTCATTTATAGAGGACACGTGCTCCGAGGGGACAGTTTGTAGACACGTGCCCTGAGGGAACAATGAGAGACTGGAACCTCCCTAGAGCAAGGAGTCTAGAATCCATGTCATGGACCAGACAGAGAAGGTTCTAGAAGATAGTCTTTAAGGAATGCCAGAGGCAGAGGACAGAAATGGTGGAAGCCTCCCCTTTCCCTTCCTGTGGTGTTGGGGCAGTTGCTTCCTGGTGAGGCTTCTATAGAGTACAGCTCTATGACCAGGCACACAGCAGGCTCCCTAGGCTGTCTCTGCAGGGCCTGGGGAGACAGCTTGCAGGGCTCTCTTCAGGGTGCAGCAGAGGAGGCAGGAAGAGCTCACTGGGGTTCGTGTAAGGAGTGAGTGTGCCATGGGACAGGGTGGGCCCCACAGCCGCATCACCAGAGCCACTGTAAAACCGCAGGCCATGGCCCAAGTCGGACATCAGCTCCCACAGTAATCGATCTTCATAATTCAAAGGCAGCAAAAAGAGGAAGGGGCTGAATTGAAGAGGTTATAGGTTCGAGTCTCTTTGAGGACAGGTACTTAAGTATCTCTGGAGCTGGGCTCTGTCTTTACCAGGCACAGGATAAATGTCTGCCAGGCTCAGCTGAATGTTGGGGGAACTTGAAATCTGCAGGATTGGAGCTGACCCCGGTTGGAGGGCCGGTGTCCGGCGAGGCGCTGGGGAGAGGACTGTCCCGAGGTACCTGTGGTCATCGGTGTCAAGGTGGCCCAGGCTCGCCGGAGGTGCTCCCTGCTGCAGCAACCACCCAGTCATGGTCTCTGAGTCACCAGGGCCCTGAGGGAGGAGAGATCCTGAGTCTGGGTGTCTCTGGGCACTAATGCTGTCACGTCTCAGAATGACGTAGAAACCTCCATCCAAGGGAAGAGAAGGCCAGGGCTTCTGGGCAGTATTACTGGTTTAGGAAAGTCGGGCTAGGGATGGAGCTGCATCCCGGGGAGTGACTTCCAGGCCCCACACTGGTCCCTGGTTCCTCAGGGGGTCTGCAGTTGGGCCTGGGTTGGTTCCTAGCAGGGCTCCGGACAGAGGTGGCTCGGGGCTCCACTGTGTCCACAGGACCTTGGGGGCTCTCGGGGCCGTGCATGGAGGGGAGAGCAGAGCTGGCGACAAAGGGGACAGTCACCCTCACCCCACTTCTTCCTTTGTTCAGGCCCAACCTTCTGGGTCCTGTCAGACTGGCCTCGAGGGACACCGCCTGCCACCCAGAGAGGTCAGGGGCCTGGTGCTGAGCCAGGGGTGGAGAGTCATTCGAGGGACTGTGCTGACTCCCCGCTCTGTCCTGTTCTGGAGTGGTCGGGGACTCCGGGCCCACAGTCAGCTGCCCTCCCTGGGCTCTGGGTGCGGCTGGGGCTGGGATATTAATTCCGCCATCTGCGACCTCTCACATCATTGGCTGAGCCCCGGCCTTGGAGTGAGAAGGACTAAACTGGAATCCCGACTTCACCTCTTCTGGGCTGCATGAGGTCGGCCACGTGTTTTACCCCTCCTGAGTCCTAGTTTGCTCAACTGCGCGATGATAGTGCTAATGCATAATTTCCAAGGAGGATGTGGATATTAAGTGAGATTATTTACATAAAATCAGTTTGCAGCTTGAAAAGTCCAATGCCACCATGAAGGCTTAGCACTGCCGTCATCACAGATGGAGTTGGCTTTTGTCTGCTTCATGGAGATGCTTCAAATACAGCTGGATCTGAGTTACAGGGTGAGGGCTGAGGGGATGGGCCCGAGAGGTGCCCACCTGGATGCAATGTGGCGGCCACAGAGTTTCTACATGGCAGTTTTGACCCCACATCTAAACATGAGAACTGTTCCAGTGCTGGTAACTTTCCCTGAGAGAGACATTTCAGGAGCAGGCACCATCAGGCCAGTTTAAATCCTTGGACAATTTTTAACATGGCGACATTAGACTGTTTCCAAATTTTTCCATTTCATCTTCCTAAAACTATTTTTGCTGAGGTGAATGACTGTCTATACAAAATTTATGAACAAGATTAAATTTATTAGTTTTCTAAAATTGTCACTTTGCCAGTGTGAGTTTCACACAGAACCACTCATTTTACCAAGTCCAAAATCTCCCACGTCAAATTCCTCAAGACAGAGTTCTTAGATCAGTGTGCGGTCATCCTCAGAGTTCATGATGGGTGCCACCACCCCGGACGCTCAGGTGGTGCTGAAGGTCTCACTACATTCATTTTCTTCTCCACACCAGGTACTGCTGCAGCCTCCCTGCTGTCTGTCAGCAGTTCTTCAGTAAATTCACCTGGCACTTGGGCTGCTTACATGGATTGACATTTACATGGGCTGCTTTAGACACTGTCAAAGTTATGTTACTCGGGTTATTTGCACCAGAAATGTTAGCTATCACGGGTTTGGGAATGATAGCTCATTTTTATTTCCCGGCGAATGCATGTGAATATTACTGGCAGCTGTCGGTGGGGCGTTTCTCACCAGCTTGGCCACAGGCTGCCATTCCAGTCTGCTGGGCCCTTCTGGGTGGGTCAGAGGGGAGAGGCCAGAGCCAAGGTGAGAGTCGCCAGGGTGTCCTGATGTCCAAAGCTCCGAGAGAAGGTGGGGACCTGTCTGGGCTATGCTTGCACAAGGGCCACCGTGGCTCTAGTGTGGAGACGGCGATGCAGATGGGGTAGGGAGTGCAGCGATGCTGGGAGGGTCAGAAAGGCCTGCGGAAACCCAGGGGAGGTGCCCTGCAGCCCCCTTCACACGGGAGCCTGCCCTGTGCCCCGAGCCTCACTGTGCCATGGAGAACCCTCTTCACACCCTCTCTGTGCCTGAGGCGTCGTCAGTCTGGACAACCGGACCTAAATTCAGGCCAAGGCTGGTCTGGTCCCTGTCCGGAGATGGAACACAGTGACAGACAAACCCTGCACATTGTGCATGGTCGGCCGGCATGGGAGGGAGCTCGAGGCCCTGCCTTTCTGCACCTGATGCTCACCTGCGGGAGGCTGTCCCCAGCCACAGGAGAGGAGGAAAGGAAGGCAAAGGATGCAGAAGCGGCTTGGAGGGCCAGGCCTGTACAACAGTGCCACCCACCCATGGGCCAGGCAGTGTAGCCCAGGGGTCACTGTGCATGTGGCGGGCCCTGCCACGGACACTCAGAGCGTGGATGTCAGTTGGTCATTGATTTAGGATGCTTCCGTGGGTAGAAGGTAGAGGGGTGTGGCCGGAGCTGTGACTCCACAGATCACTTTTTGGGTGATGAGAGGAAGGAATGCAGAGGAAGGTGAGCGGGAAGAGAACAATCTGTCACGAACGTCTGACTTTCATGCTCCAGGATTGTGTCCTGAATGTCACCAGCAGTCAGGGTTGGGTTGGGGAGAAACTGAGCAGGAAGACACTGAGTACCACTCCATGTGAGTCAGAATGAGCAGCTTGTGCACACATGTGTGTGCACACACACCCCCATACATACCCCCCATGCACACACAGTTTTTAAAGACCTGGCCCCTGAAGTTCCTGCCCTCCTGAGCTGCAGGCTAATTGGAGAGCGTGAATGTCCGTTGGGTGTGTCAGCCTGCTATTGTAGGCATGTGAAGACCCCCCACAGTTCACATGGGATGAAGGTAAAGGGGGTCTGGTGGGTTTTGTTACCTCTGAGAATGCAGGACTCCAGCAAATTCAGAGCCCTGACCCAGAGCAGGATTTTGAGGCCTGACTAGGGTGATACTTGCCAGGGCCTGCCAGGTTGGCAGCTGGCGTTGAAGTGATCTCCTCTTACTGAAATTCTCTACCTGACTCGGAGAAAGTGCAGCCAGGTTGAGCTAATCTGCAGCAGCCGGCACCCCCCTCCTGGGCCCACATGACCGACATGACAGAGCTGCAGTCTGTGTGGCTGAGTCAGTTTCCTGGCAGAGGCCTTGATTTCCCCAGGAGCAGCCCAGATACTTGGAGGACAGCAGCGTGTTCCCCTGAGTGCCACTGCAGCCTCAGAAGGATCCGGAGCACAGCAGTCCTGCATGCAACCTCTGCTCAGGCGGTAACATCGGTGCCTTAGCGGTTACATCCATGCTGCCCCTGAGTGGATGGCAGAGAGTCAAGGCAGAGCCTGAGCGATTGTCTGAGGAGGAAAGCATTGCTTTCTTGAAAGGATCCATAGATGGATAGATAATCTTCTGCAACCCTAAATATGTAAAAACTCATGAAATAAAAACACACAGTTCAGGTAGACCATACCAGGAAATGGACGGGTAGAGTGCCTGTATTAGATTATTACTTAAAGTGCATTCCCCTATGTGTTCATTCTTATATTGTTCACTCATTGTATTCATTTATTCTGTAAAACCTTATATACCTTGTATCATGTACAAGATTAAGTGTATAGTGGTGACTAAGAAGAAGCCTTGGATCACAGCCCTTAAGGAGCCCATAGGAGCCCTCCCTTGTCTATTTCTCTTTTGTCTCTATTTGTCCATCCACCCATCCATCCACCCACTCATCCACCCACTCATCCATCCACCCATCCATCCACCCATCAACTCATCCATCTACCCATCCATCCACCCATCCACCCACTCATCCATCTACCCATCTACCCATCCATCCACCCATCCACCCACTCATCCATCCATCCACCCATCCACCCAACCAACCATCCATCCACCCACTCACCCATCCATCCATCCAGGATGCCACTAGGGTATCAGAGCCCTTAGAACACTCAGCTGAGCCATAATCCACAGTACCCCAGCCCTGTGCAGCCCCTGTGTCCCTGCCCTCCTCATCTGCTCTCTACCCCTGCTTTTTGCTGCCTGGACAGCCCTCACTCTGTACATCAGTGTGGACAAGGCCTCGGGTCCTACCTCTACAATGCATGTGCCACACCTGTTTTGCCAGTTTACAATTTTACTGCAGAGATGGGGTGTAAGGAGCTAAGGGAAGAGCCCTATGGAGCCCTACAGAGGAGACTCTGACCTCCACCCCGTGCCTCTCCCTACTCTCACCTTCTTCTGTTTCTTCTCCAGAGGCGAGCGCCACCTCCACAATGAACCCTACAGTCTTGTGCTGAATAAACCATGCCTGGAGGCTCAGCTTTTATCTCAAGTCAGATGGTCAAAAACACTCCCCCACAGGAGCTCTAGGGAGAAAAGCGATTACTTCTTCCTCTCCTATGTGTCCTATTTTTCTGTCTGGAAACCCTTGTGTTAAGGCAGGGACAGATAGAGAGAGAGTGATTTGAGAAAGATCGACAGATGGAAAACAAGTGGCAGATCTTAGAGGCGGGGTCAACTCCCACACATCTCAGAAAAAGGAAGGTAAATACACCAGCAATGACAGTTCTGTGTGCAATTCTGTCTCTTACTGAATTCCTTGGCCCGCGCCCATGGACTGCAAGGCATAGACCATGTGCAGGCTGGTTCTCTAAAGGCATGGTTCTGGTGCTCTGCATGCATTGCCCCACAACTCAGGCTTGGGAAACACGAGCACTCACCCCTCAGTCTCCGAGGCTGGGAATCTGGGACCGGCTTGGCAGGTGGCTCTGGCTCAGGGTCTCCTGAGGCTGCAGGCCTCTTGATCAGGTTGGGGATTTGCTCCCAAGAGGCCTCTCCCTGTGTGCTGGGGCGACCTCACATCCTCATAGTGTCCACTCTTCTCGCACTGTGGCACACAGCTTCCACCAGGATGGCCCGAGAGGGAGGAAGGGAGAAGTCATAGTGTTGTGACCCGGGCCTGGAGGTAAGGCAGGCTGCTCAGGGCCTGGTTACTAGGGGTGAACCTCATGCAGGGGGCTCTCAGGTACAGCCGTCATAGGCATTTTCTTAGGGGAGGTTTCATAAACATTGGAGAGAAAAGTCCAGAGGAAGCAGGACTAGGAGGTGGGGATGTGTGGTGCCTGCCTCTCTAGTCCCAGTCCTTCCTCTGGTGTTTTCCACCTGATACGGCCACTCCAGGCTCCACACACCAGGGGGACCATGTGTACCCTTCACAGCAAACCACTTCATACTGGTCATTTTGCAGTGGTGACAGCAAGCAGCAGTTCTGAGTCCATGCAGCACGCAAAGTTCGTTACCTAGCGACTATGTTTAAATGCAAGATCATTGGCCGTTTCACAAAGGTGGAAGTGGAAATAGTTCTCGAGGTCCTGAGTGGACTCCACTCTGGGAGGCGGCAACTTTCCCTCCAGCAAACAGCTAGAGACGTGACCAGGACTCTGCCTGTGCAGACTGCAGTGGACCGAGCCAAGAAAGCCACACGGGTTTCCTCCGAGAAAACAGTGGTTCAGACGAACTCTGCTGCTTCTCCTAGGAACCTTCACTGCTCTGTGGCTGGCTGTACAGCTCCTGAGGAAGCAGGAGGGGCTTTGAAAAGGGACTCAAGCGAAAATCCTAGAGGATGGGCTGTGGGGATGTTTCCCAAATATGCAGCCAGCTCCCTCTGCCAGCAAAGAGGGACAAGAAGCTAGCAATCCCCATGAAAAGCAGAGATCACACTTAAATGCTACGCACCGCATCCCTCTCTCGTGGTGTTGTCTCATCCCATCCTTTTATATTCTTATTGTTTCTCAGAAACCCAGGCTGGTGAATAAGAAGAATGTGTGTAAGTAGGAGTCAGAGGAGAGTTCATTCACACCTTCAGTAGTCACTGTGGCGGTTGTTTGGCGCGGTCAGGCTGCGTAACCGTGTTTAGACTTCGTGCTCTGTCCTGGCTGGTGTTCACTGAACGCTTGCATCTCCTGAAACCCTGACGGTGTTTTGGGGCTTAAAACAAAGTAAGATAAGTAAGGCAAGCTCCTTGCTCCTAAAGGACCTGGAAGTATCATCTGGAGAGAGAATTTACTTGAAAAAAGGAACAAAACAAGAGAGAAATAAGTTTGAAGCTCTGTGGTGGAGTCCCTGGAGCTCTGGGGCGAGATGGGGCGCACAGGATGTGATGACCTTGGGCCATGGAGCAGGATCCCCTTGGCTGGCTCTGGGGCCTCAGGGTTCCCCTGCACAGCTGGTCATGTGGGTGTGGCAGGACTTTCATTGCAAATACTGACACAGTCTGAGGCCAGGTTGGGAGAATTAGGCCCCACGTGTGCCGCCCTGCTATGCTGCCCTCTCTGTCCAGGCAGTCACGGGACCCCAGGACTGAGCGGGTCTGTGGAGAGCTCACCTGGGGCAGGTGACCTGCGTGTGGGAAGAGCCTGGTGTAGCAGGAGCCGTGTGCCGTGCCGGGCCTGGAGGGAGGGCCACAGGGCCAGGGGCAGAAGAAGGGGGCCCAGCGCAGGGCAGGCACAGGGAGGGTGGCCGTGCTGCACAGGCTCAGCTCGGACACCGTCCAGACACCACCAGGCACAATGGGTGGCCACAGCCCTGCCCTTCGCCCTCACGCCTGTGGGCAAACACCAGCCTTGCCCCGGGGATTCTGCCAGTGAGGACTGGAAATATTTGCAAAGAAAAAACCACGTCTGTACAGAACATATCAAACTGCCCTGGGCACTTCCTGCAGGGTGCAGGCGACAGCTCCTCTCTCTGCTCTCTAGGAGGATGTGTGCAGCTCCATGAGCTCGGAACCACTTCCTGCGGGGGCCCCAGTACTCGAGGACCGAGGTGTGGCTGGACTCCTGGACCCCTTCCCTGGGAGCCCCCTCGACCGTGCCGCTGGCCCCTTGGGCCCTCAGGCTTGCGCTGAACAAGGCTGCCTTGTTAAGCGGGAAATCCCTTGGACAAGTTTGTCTCAAGCAGGAATGGTTTTGATTTCACTTCAACACCTATGCACGAGCGGCGCCTCACCTCACGCCTCACCTGGATCATCTTACTCAGCCTTCCAACACTCACACGGGCGAGGCCCCAAGCCCCGGCCTCACATGCAGGTGAGGAAACTGAGGCCAGGATGTGAGCTCCAGGCTGGTGAGCAGCAGACCCAGCTTGGGGCCCAGCCTCTGAGCCGGGGTCTGGGGTAAACGCCGACACTAGGGGCTCCAGATTCTCCTCCACTCCAGGGATGTCCAGTTTCCCCAGTGACACAGCTGATCAGTTAACCATCAGTGACACTTATGCGTGGCTCATTTCATCAGAAGTACAGAAATTGCTCAGAGTGACCTCTGCTGGTGGTGATGTCGATTCTGGTTTTTAAAGATATGACCAGAAAGAGGCAGATTTTAAGACAGCATGGCCCAACCCTCCTTTACTAGTTTAGGTGCGGTTCTTCATGCTATGGATGAAAGGAGCCAAGCTCAGGTGTGGGAGGAAGGAGAGCAGTTCGTGGCCAAGCTGCTCACTTTAGGAGACACTGCGACGGCTTCCAAGACGGCAGCTCCCTGGCAGGACGGGGTGAGTGTGGGACGTCCGGGCCTCATCATGGGCTCTAAGGGGCTCAGCCAGCCAGGCACCCCAGGCTGCTTTCCGCTGCAAATGTGGCCCGATTGCCCAGGACAAGCGGGGCTGGAGACCATGGTGACTCAGCCGTCCAGCTGGCGATGCCCAGAGCATCCAGGGAGGGGGACACTGGGTCGTGCGGCCTCGGCAAACCGAGGAAGCTTCTGCTTCTGTTGCTGTGGGCTCCGCAGCCCTGTGCCGTTCGAGTCTTGGGAATGCACTTCTCTGGTTCTGTGCCCTGTGCTCCAGGTCCTACAAGGAGACAGGGACGTCAGCCAAGGAGACGTGGTCCCCACACTCCACGGCCACCAGGAGCTTCCTGTCCCCCAGGAAAGTGCACACATGGAAGAGTGCGACTGCGACCCAGCCCGGCCCTGTGATGAGGGGCGCAGCGGGGCCCCTAAGCCAGCGGGGTGGGGCGCTCAGGCCGAGGAAAGCTTTGTGGGGGACGCTGAGGTCTGAGGTGTCCCTGGGGTGAGCTCGGGCCCTGCCATCCGCCGGAACTCAGCTGCACCTCACTCTGCTGCCACAGCAGATGGTCTAGGGGCCGGTGTCCAGTGTGGTCCTCACTGCTGTGGCCGCTGCTGTTGGATATGGGCTTGGCTGTGGAGGCTGCCATTGACCCTGGGAGGGGGCTGTGCAGCCCTGTTCCTGTCCTCGTCCCTTGGCTCCGCACAACTTCCTGCAAGTGGTTTTGCCCCACCCTGAGCCCCTGCCATAGCTGCTTCCCTTCTCAGAAGCCCAAAGAGAAATGGGCCCGATGCTGGGCTGGAACCCCCAGAACGCTGAGCCAGGGTGACTCCTCTCTTCAGGACTGGGCTGCCTCTGGGATTTGTTGCAGTCACCAAAGCTGACGAACACAGCTTCCGCATGGGCACCGTGGGAAAACAACAGGAACTCTGGATGCCGCAAGGACTAAAGAGAGCAGTGTGGGAAGCTCTGCATGTTAGTTGTGGGGTCGCTGTGGCCGTGAGGTGCTGCCCTGGGGCTGCTGAGGTCTACACTGCTGTGATTGGTGGAGGGCTGCTCGAACTGGGAGGTGTCTGCACCCTGCATGGTGGCAGCTGTGACTTCAGGAAAACTCAGTAGGGCATCTTTCCTCAGAGCAGTTTCTACAGTCAGAAGACCATGAAATGGTGAGGGGAAAGGAAATTGGGCACCACACGAACTCCACATCCAGCCTTCTCCAGTGTTGCTTAGCAGTGGTGGTGACTGGGAAGACACCGGCCAGAGCAGCCTGCAGGTCTCTCCCTGGTGGCACGGGGCCGGTCCCATGGCCCTGGGGATGCGTTCAGGCTCCTGGGGAAGGCCTGCTCCAGCCCTGGGCTTGCTGGTCTCCGAGTCTGTCCAAGCAGAGCCCAGGGACGTGGGTCACACGATGGTAACTCTGCGGCCCAGGATTCTGTCACCAACAGCAGCTGAAGGCCGACAGGGCTGTGGGTTCTTCTTCCACCTCCTCCCCAGGGGGCAGCACCCGTTCCTGAGTCACCACCCACTGACTGCTTCCTGAAGTGGGCTCTGAGCGGTGGCCAGCCACTCAGGAACTGCCCCAGCAGGCCCAGTCCTGGCCTCTGTTCCGGTGATCACAGCCCTTCCCTCAGGGCCCACTGCCCTGCCCGGGGAGCTCGAGTGTGGTTATCCAACATGTGGTGCGGGCAGCAGGGACAGCTCTGGACCGGAAGGGCTGACCAGCACTGAAATAGCAACATCCCAGGTGAGAAGTGGAGAGTAAAAACAAGCTGTGCTCATGAGCTCTCCTCGCCCTACATAGCTGCCCGGCACCTGCACCCACTCCCCTGCTGCGCATGGCACAGGTGGAGGGAGGGAGTCGGTGGTGAGAGTCCTGTCCTGGCTCATCTTGTCCAGAGGCTCAGACGCTGTCCGAAAACCACAGAAGCGTGGGAGCTGCCCAGAGCGAGCCATCGTCCCCTGCTCCTCCCACCCACTCCATGAGGGTTTACTGTGCTGGGCAGATGGGAAGTCCGCTCACCCGGGTGAGCTGGTGGCTCAGGGTCGAGCAGGGACAGAGATCCTGGGAACCAAAGCCAGGTCACTGGGCCCACTGCCCGTGCTGGCCAGGAGGAAGTGGCCCTGGTGTAGCTGAGGCTCTGTCCCTCGTTGCTGTCCCCAGTGTGGCTGTGCCCCAGGGGGCAGAGCTCTGGGGAGGCTGTGCAGGAGGCCAGGCTGGGACTCCATTCCCTCTGCCTGGTGGGTCCTGCTGCCCCAGGCTGGCTCTTGGCAGGGCCCACCATCATGACAGTGGTGACACACTACGTGCTGCGCTGCCACTGAGCCCAGCTTTCCTGGAGTCAACAATCCCAGTCTCGGGGTTTCGAGCAGTGGCCCCATTCCCTGAACCAGAATGAGAGAGAGGAAGATGGGCCAGTGTCACCTTGGCCACGGGCACAGGCACTAGGTGGAGGAGGTGCAGACCATGACAGCAAGGCAGGGCTCGGGCCTTGGCTGGGGAAGCAGATGCTGGGTAGACACCACCTTTCCCAGGTTCACGGCTCCCTGTGGGAGCTTGGAGCCTGGATGGGCATAAGGGGACAGAAAGAAGCCAGGCTTGCTGCCGCCTGCCCACCCTTCCATGGACTGTCTCTCCTCAGCAGTGCCACCCTGCCCTGGAGCCAGCTGACTATCGACTGAAACCTGGACAAACTGAGCCCAAATAACCCTCTCCTCCTTTAACTTTGGATGTCTGGTATTTTGTCCTAGAAACGAGAAGAGTAACTAAGACAGTGTACAAGGCAGACTTTGCTAGATTTCAGACAGAAGATTTGCACTGGGAAAGGAAGAGAGAGGATGGAAAGTGGAGCAGCTTTCTCCCTGAGAGGAGTTCCTGCCTGCACAGGGAGTGGAAGAACATGGCAGACCTGGGACTGGTGGGGGGCGTGGACTTCATCTCCATTGTGAGGGGGCTGTAGGCCAGCGGGGCTCCACCCTCACGGTGGGTGAAGATTGTCAGCCATCATTAGGGTTTAGATCTGGAATGTTCCCAAAGGCTCAGGGGTTTGGAGGTGGGCTTTGGGAGGTGACTGGAATGGGGTGGTGCTGTGCTCAGCCATGGATTAATCCATGATGGACTCCTGGCTAAATGTGTGGTAGGAGGTGAGGTTGCAGGGGTGGGTCACTGCGGTGTGACCTGGAAGGGTGTGATCTTATCCCAGGGTCCTCTCTTCCTTCTCTGCTTCCTGGCTGCCCAGTGGGGAGCAGCTACCCCTGTCGGCCCTTCCACATGCTGTTTCTGCCTTGGAACCAGTTGACCTTGGACTGAACCCTCTGAAGCCACGAGAGAAAATAAACCCCGCTTCCTTTAAATTGCAGGTGTCTGGCTTTTGTCCCCACGGTGGGAAAGTGACTCAGACAGTGATCCTCGTGGGAGTGGGGCAGTTACCTTGGAGAGCTGAGTGACGACGGCAGAGGCCAGATGCCAGCATCTTCATATTGGCTTCCTGCCTCCAGAGCTCTATGAAATAACTTTATAAATAGAACATTAGCAAGTGAGATGAAACGTTACTCCTCATAATAAAGTGAGGTGACGCAGGAAGTTAGAAAACCTGAAATCAGCAAATACGCGAACCAAGCTTGTGGGGATCTGAGGGGTGCTGGGGTGCGGGGACTACAGAGAGGTGATGGGGTCACTGTGGCTTCAGGGTGAAGACTGAACTGCAGCTGGGGTGAGTTGGGAATGAGGTGAGGGGCAAGGGCTCCCCAGGAGTGTGACGCGCAAATTCACTCTGCAGACAGAATTGCGATTGCTCATGAGATGGGGAGTGACCCTGGGCTGTCTAGGTGGGACCAGCATCATCACAAGTGTCCCTGGAAGTGGAGGAGGAGTGGGTGGGACAGTGCCTGGGCTGCAGCATCTGCTGGGAAGGAGCAGAGGAGTAAGGGGATGTCTAGGAGAGGAGGCAGGGCCTGAGGGGTCAGACGCAGGTCAGGGTCGGAGTCCCCCAAGAGAGCTGGGGGTGACTCAGAGAGAGGCAAGGCTAGAAGGGAGGACTCGGATGAGTTGACTCAAGAACTAGATCTGGTGACACCGTAAACACTGGCGTTGCTTTAGATGAAAACATCTTGTATCCTGTGACACCTTTGTTCCTACTCCTATGCTACCTTCTCCTTCTCAAAGTGTAAGCCCTAGGGTTTTCAGCCCGTTCTGTTTCCCTGGGGGGCTGTAAAGATGGAATTGTATTGCCTGACCTTGAAACAGTGCATCCTTTCTACTGCTGATGAGAGTGATCTCAGCAAGACAAAAAGGTCCCAGCTTTTTTATACTATTCTACGTCATAGAAATCATTTCAGGTCTAAAAAGAGGAAACTTGTCAAAAGTCAGTCCTGTGATTCTTAACAGTGAGCTTATGGGTAGTTATTTGTCCTGGTGATGGGATAATGTTTAATTTTATCTCTATTTTCCAGAAGGTGTCACTGTTGTGAGTTTGATAAGCCATAAGAGGACCTTGGCACTTTCTTATTCCATATGAGTGGACATGAAGATTAAAAGTTAAGATTCTGTTACGTTTCATAGTTTTGATATAGGACCTCCAAGTGATATAGGGGAAATAACTCCCAATCTACCAAGTGTCAGCTACACTGAGTTTGTGTTCCCCAAAAGCAAAGACTGAATTCTAAGGCACAACAGAGGAAAAGGGCAGGAACTGTTTATTGAGAGGGAGAGATTTTAACTCCTGAGAGACAGGAGGGGACCTGAATTGGTTACCAGGGACCCCACTTCACAGGGGAAGTCTTGTAGAGCAAAATCATGAGTTGGGTACAATGCGGGACAAAACTCGGATCAACCAATGAGATTACAAGTAGACCTGAGTAGGTAATGTTGATCCAATGAAAAAACAGGTTACGTAGCAAGTGTACATGGAAAGAACAAAGAACTTTTTTAGGAAGGGACCGGTCCAGAGGGCTTGGTCACCCACTGGGCGACTGATGTCTACCTAGACTTTATTGGGCCAGGTGTTACCACTTATCTTATCCCTTGAGGAAGTACGCAGGCCTGGTCATGTTGACTTTATCTTGAGGCCTGGCCTCCAACAGTCTCCAGCCACAGTTGTAATTTTTCATCCTTTGCACTGACTCTCGAGCACCCAGCCCTATCTGACTGCCTATAATATTTCTACCTAACTTAGCTGTCTATAATAGTGGGAAGTCTGGGCCTCTGGCCTCTTCCCTCACTAACAACTGCTTTGCGGAATTGTGTTTCCTGGAGCAGGACACAAGCAGGACTGAGACCACCAGGGACATCTGGAGAGAGAGCGGGGTCCTCCCCACCTCCCAGGAGAGAGCGAATGGCCCAGGGTTTCCACCCTCACTGTACCCTGAGCCACGCAGATGCGGAAGCTGGAGAGGACTGGAAGGGGCAGCTGCCTCCTGGGGCAGCCCCCCTGGGCTCCTGGAGGCCTGTCCCCAGCTGGGCCCACACTACTGCCTAGGCCTACTTCAGTTCTTCTTTTTATGGTCACATGTTTGCATTGTATAATGCCCGCACTCCCAGAGGGGAGCTGGTGCAGGCGCAGAACTCACCTCAGTTCCCTCTAGGTCCCCTCCACTCCCCTCCCTCCATCTTCCTCCCCTCCCCATTTGCAGAAGATCTACCTTTTTGTTTCTTATTAGCTGTTTATTTTATTTTATTTTTTTCTGTTACCTGGATTTGAACTCAGGAACTTCCACTTGCCAGCCAGGTGCAGCACTGCTGAGCTACATCCCGGCCCTTTTTCCTGGTATCTGTTACTTTGTTGTTTAAATTACTCATACTTTGGATTTTCCTATAAGAGAATAAAGCCTCTTTGAATCTGAGCACTCATGAGGGCAAACCCAGAGGCTGTAGCCTGTGCTCCCCAGGTAGGAGTAGCCTGGGCCCTCGGGGGACCATGAGGAACACCTTCCCAGCACTCTGTGCATCTCTCTGTTGCTCCTGGCTGCCGCATTGCCGTCCTGTAACTGACGATGGACCGCTCCACCTTACTGGACGTCAGGGTCTCGCTGCCCTCTCACAGATGGCCCTTCCTCCCAAGGTGACCAGGGTGACATGGGCCTGGGCACATCAGAGGCCGCCTGCAAGTGTGCTGTTCACACAGCCACCAGTGACCCATGCAGCCGGGGGCTCGCAGGGCTGCCACACGCTGGACCAGCTCTGCCCTGTCGTGGTCCCTGGGGGCCCTGCCCCAGGGTGGCCGAAAGTACCCACGCTAGCTGACCCTAAGCCTGCTGACCCCCTCCTGCCCCTCCCACAGGATCCCCCATCGGCCCAGCCCCTCACTCTGGCTGCCTGGTGTTCCACCTCCCTTCGTCCCCAGATGGGGTCACCAGCCTGCTCCCCGAGGCAGTCCTCTCTCTGCTCTTGACATCACTGTTCATGAGTGATGAGTCCCAGGCTCTAAAACGCCCTTGGGAGCGGGGATCAGAAGTGTTGAATGACGGACACGGAAGTGGGCAACACTGCCCCTCGGGGCCCTCGGCTTCAGCTGCGAGAAGATGCTGACACTGACTAGAAAACTATTTCACAGGAGGCCTACTCCACACTGAGTAAACGTCAGATCCAAGTTTATTTCGCATCTCAGATCACCTCTGGCCAAGTCCTCCCACCATGCCCATCAGGCCAGGCCACACGAAGGCCCAGGAGGACCACGTTGTGCCAGGGGTGAGGCGTGCCTCAGATTTGCCGATGCTCTGCGACTCCAGACACTGCAACCCCTTGTCCCTTAGAAACGAGTTCCGATCCTCTCAGGACTCCCAGTGTAGAGCTGTGCGGCCGGGCGCTCTCTCAGGAACCAGGAGCTCCCGGTTGGATCACAAAGCTGTTTCTGCACTTCCCAGGGGCTGAGTCTCCATCCAAGCTGCTTTGCACAGCTCCAGGTGCCACCAGGGCATCTGTGAGCATTGCCGCACTCCACAGAGAATCACCCAGCCACACACTCAGTGCCCAGTGGGAAGCTGACGCCCTAATAGGGTTGTCATCTCACTTGAAGGGCGGTAAGAAAGACATCGGGGTTGCAGGTTAAATTCAACAACTGCTCCTAATAAAAACTCTTAAAAATTAGGGATGCGCGGTGACTTTTTTAACCTGATGAAAAGAGTCATACTTTACGATCAGCTAGCATCGTATTACACAGGAAGATAATGAAGACCTTTTCATCACACCAGGAAAAAGAAAGCCTACTCATATCATTCTTCATTTTCTTGAGGCATTCTGGCCAATTTGGTAAAAATAGAATAGAAAAGAAAGAAACAGATATCCTGAAGGAGAAAAATGCCGTAATTATTTGCAGATAGGGATGCATCTACTCGAAGGAGCAAAATAAAAAAGTATGAGGATTAATGAGCTTAGGAAAGTGACTGAACACATAAAAGTCAGTAGCTTGCTTTTATAACATTAAAAACAAGTTATAAAATATAATGAGAATCAAGATTCTGATTATAATAGCTGTAAAAATATGAAATGCCTACAAACAACCTGAGCATTAGAATGAAACAATATATTTGTAGAAAACTACAAAAATGTTATTGAGCGGTATAAGGAAAACTTTGATGGAATTACAGAACATGTTAAAGACATCTATTTTTCACAGTTGAATGCTTTTTAAATTCAATAGTGTGGTGTGATATTTTCCTAAGTTAAAAAAATCATCCCTACTTTCACCTGGCAGAGTACACAAGCTAAAGAATAGCAATGAGTTAGGGAGAAGATATTAATTATTAGGTAATAAAATCCAGACTACTTTTGTAATTAAAAGTGTAATATCTGTGCAAGAATAAATCAGGCACTTTTTCTAGGAGCAATCATCAAAACCATCCACTCTTCGTCACAGTGAAGGATATTATAGTTAATTAATATTATAATTAATCACTGACTTTGTTTAGTAAGTCTGTGTCATCCACAACAGCATCCAGACTCTTAGCATTAAACACACAGGAGGGGCAGAACAAATAATTGCTAAATGAATAAATGAGAAGAGAAAACAAATAAACACATTTAGTCTAGTATCTCTCCATGGTTGAGGTCATATCTGCACCAAATGGATTCAGGTTAAGTGGTCAGGAATTTGAGAGAATTTAGTTCATTTCTACCTCACAAACTAAACTAAACTTGACACCCAGTCTTACACACTGAACTGAGTTCTTGATGGAATAAGGAGTCAGATATTTTAAAAAGTCAAACTAAAGAAAAAGAAGAAAAGTAGTTGGATATTTACCAAATTTCTAAGCTTAGAGTAAGGGAAGACAGCTGTTGTAACATCAGCCACAATGTTTTAGGTCCCGCAGTCATGCAAATAAATGAATTCATGAAATTAAAAGTTTCCAAACTCTGGAAAAGATGGCAGAGGTAGCAGGGCACCCTGCGCCCCGACCCTCACCCGTATTTATAGCACAGAGCTGGAACTGCTGGCTCAGAGGGAGGGGGCCGGGGCCCCTGGCCTGAGGTTTGCTTGCTGGACTAGCTTTGCATCTTAGAGCAGGAAGGAGTCGGGGCCTCAGTTTCCCCATCGTCAAGAGAAGATGCAAGCAGGAAGAATTCCTGGGGAACACCAAGTGCTCAGCGAGTGAGCATCAGTATTACTGCTGCTCTTGCTGTTTGCACCGAAATCTGCCTGAGATGGACCCAAGTATGGAATTAGCTTTGTGCACAAGGAATTGACATGGTTATCCACAGCGGAGCGTCTTTCCTGTCCTGCCGGAGGAGCAGCCGAGGGCACAGTCCCCTCATGGGACTCTTGTCCACCCTGAGCATGGACAGCTGCACGGGTTACGGGACCTCATGGGGACCAGTGCGTGCCAGCACTTGGTGGGAAGGAAGGCTGAGAGCGAAGCTGCACTGACGGTACGTTCAGAGTTTGTAAGAGGAAAACAGTGCATACACGAGCAAAGCCTGGAGGAAGTGAACTGCGAACAGCAGCTGTCTATGAAGACTAGGTAGGAGTGGCTTGTTTCTACCATTATTTTCTGTATTTCCAATGTACAAAAAATGAGTGTGGAATATTTTTTAAATCAATCTATACATTAAAGAAGGAAAAACACACTGAACATTTTGCTTTTGTAATCTGGACATTGTTAAGGGCCAGTCATGACTGAGGCTCTGACTTCTCACCTTCTGGGGAGTTCTGGAAAGAGGAAAATAACCTAATGGTCCAGTTCTGCAGGCTGTCCTTGGACACAGAGGGTTCAGACGGGAGTCGCTGGGTCGTCAGCCCTCATCACTGCAGTGAGAAGCCGGGAGGAGCTGCAGCCTGGAGCAGAGCGGCTCATCCTGCAGGGGCACTTCTCAGCCGGGAGGGAAGAGAGGAGGAAAGACAGCCCTGGGCCCCACCAGGCCGTGCACAGCACCAGGCTGGGAGCTGCTCTCCCCACAAGGACCTCTGGGGGGGCACAGTCATCCCTCTGGTCTCTGCCCTCCTGCACGCACCTCCCAGGCAGGGACTGAGCTTCCTCTCCTCCTCCTGAGCCCTGGGGCACAGGCGGGGCCCAGTCTCCCCTTCAGTCGGTGAGTTAGCTCGGAAAGGGGAGATGCCAGCTTAAGGAAGAAAGGGAAACAGAACAGGGCAGGGTGGGTGCCTTTGAGGAAAGGAGGAAATAAAGACTGATTTACGGTCCTTTAGAGGAAGAGAGACAGAATTCTTTCCTCCCTGACACTACGCAGGGATAAAGTCAGATCCTCTCTCCTCTCTCCCTCCGTGTACGTTCAGAGTGGTGACAATGACAGGGACACGCTCTGTGGGGTGGAACGGGGCTCCCTGAGCTGGGGGTCCCGTCTGTGTGGCTAGGAGCTCACCTGTGCCCCCGCAGCCGTGCCCAGAGCTGTGGGTCAGGGAGCTGACGCAGTCCACTGCCGAGAGCCATGGAGGTGACGGGTGGACGAACAGTCCCCGGATGGCGGACCCAGCGTGCTGCACCGGTCAGACTTCTCCTGTGTGACCCCGGGCGGCTCCTTGGCCTCTTCTGGCGCAGTCTTCACGCCTGAGAAGTGATGTGGGTGCAGAGTGGTAAACACCAGGGCCGCGGTGCACAGCGTAACCTCCGACACGCTGTGGTGCTCCACCCTGCACTGCTGACTTGCTCTTTCTCATGACAGAAATCATGTTATGGGGCCGGGGATGTAGCTCAGTGGTTCTGGCGCCTGCCTCGCAAGCGCAAGGTCCAAAGTTCGATCCCTGGTACCAAAAAAAAAAAGAAATCATGTTACAATTTTCTCAGCCACTAGAGATACTCACTGATAACTCTTACAATTTCCAATTAAAATTAAAGCTCTTTTAAAAATAAAATAATTTCCTTTAAAATCCTTATTAAAATTAATAATAGATGCTTTCTCAAAGCAAAATTAAAATACTTGCATAAAATAGTTCTTAATATGTAAAGTTATACAGAAACACACAAACTAGCTTACTGAGCATATAAAAATCTTATTTATCTTAATTTCTCAGAGGACGAAGGGGGGCATTTATTAAGACACAATTTGCAAGCCCCTTGCCATGCACTGCATTGTCTAACAGTGTAAGGGATTTTCTTTATTATCTTGTGAGGGAGGAAACACAGGCTTGGAGATCATAAGCAATGTGTGCAAGATCTGGATGTGGAACCAAGACTTGAGCCCGAGTCTGCCTGGGCGT